GGCACAATATGTCTCCAATGACTAGCCATCGTTAATAGGAGCACGCTAACTTTTTTTGCTTTTCACATATTGTTAGGTCAGAGGCGTTCGATTGTATTGCTAATGCCAGTTTTCTCAAAACTATTCTGAAAAGCGCAGAATTGCTTTTTGATATGGGCGCTCCGACGGGAGAAATCTCTCTGGACTTTCTGCTCATATGGTGTCGAAACCCTCCTCTTCATACTATACCAAAAAATCCCGCGCCAGAACCTGTCGAACCAGTCTGTCGGCCCTGTCTCTATTTCGAACCGCGCCCATAATGGCAGCAGCGGTTGAGGGGACCTGTGCCCCTCAGGATGGACTCAAGCCTCTCCAGCTGTGGTGACAACGCAAGCCGGATCGTGCGTTCCCCATAAAAGTGTTTCGCCTCTATGCCAAGCCATCGGCAGTGGTACTTGTCCTCCCAAACATGTCATCGTCTAGCAGCATCGTCCCAGTGCTCAGCTCCACGCGGCATCACCTGCTCGAAAGCCAATCCACCAACCGCACTGGACCACGACGGAACCTGCTAATATGACACGGTTTGCTTGTGCTAATATGCTTGTGCCGTGTAGGGTTGGGTTAAACCATCAAGTGATTATTGCCATCGGGTCAAGAAATAAAGCCGTGCAAAAATAAATATGAGTTCGCAGCTCGCTCCGGTGGCCCTGGGTGACATGGCCCATAAGCATTTGTCACGGTGTCTGCTTGCAAGTGCAGTTGAACAAATTTTGGTGTTCAATCGACCTGCAATGCGATAACATGATAAGTAAATATATCCATGCCAAAGAGACAAGAAGTCGTGTAGGCCGCCTCAACTGGGGGCTGAGTTGCTGTCTTCCTTATTGTTTACCAATCAGCAAACTTAATGTATTCTTATACCATCCGTTTGCTTCTTAGCATATCTAAGTCTGGATTGGAGTGGAAGCGGACATGGACATACAGGTTCGGGCAGCGTCTTCGAAAGAAGTTTGATGAACTATACATTCTTACGTTGATAAACTCCTGTGATATACTCTTAGAAAGCTGGTAGGTAGAGT